CTACATTTTACACATTCACGCACATTAAGTACAAATCTTAGGCACATTAAGCACAACACTAACGCACATTGAGTACAAATCTCACGCACATTAATCCACCGCACATCCGCACGGGAACCTTTCACTATATATATATATATATATATATATATATATATATATATATATATATATAGAAGAGCGCTCATATGCGGCGGGGTCTTACCGTGCGGCGGTGCGGTCAAATTCCAGAATACACCAACAGTGTTAACAATATGCACAAACAGTGTAATAAAAACACACCACAATGAAATGCAATAAAACATCACAAAATACACAACAGACTCAAAAAAATACGCCATATAACTCACCACCCCCAATGGTGTATTTCCGAACAGTGTATGGTGTTTTTACTCACCCCTAATGGTGTGTGTTTGGTGATGCAGGGCTCTGTTTACTCTGTTTTGTGTGGTGTATTTTCCTTACGTTGATGGTGCATATTTGTTGAACTATTGGTGTTGCCGCACCGTAAGAAATAGCCGCACCGTAAGACACTGCCGCACCTGAACCCGCCTCTCTCTCTCTCTCTCTCTATATATATATATATATATATATATATATATATATATATAAGAAAGCTCAACTCTATGCAATTCTAGTCACAGTAAAGAGCATGGGAAACCATGTTTAGATCAAATTCTCTTTCTTCCAACCCTTGAGAGCATTTCAAATGATCTGTTCAATAACAATGAAATTTTGATGAACTTATATTTTTTTTCCCACAATTTTGGTAATGAGAGTAAATCAAAAGATGATGAGGCGGCGGCGGAACCCACATTGAAGGATATAAAGGGGATGCTAGGGCTGGATGACTTGGGTGGCTAAAACGGCACTGCCGATTGAGGAGGGCATTGCTGCGTTCCCGTGTTCCCACCTTGCCAGAAAACTACCAGCTGGACATTGAATTCCTTCGCCATCAACTATAGATCTTCAAATATCAATGCTAACAAAAATCGAAATTGAGTTAAAATCGTTTTAGGAATGCAAAAATACTGTTAAATTAAGGGGGTTTCCAACCCAATTTGGAAAGTATATATAAAGAAAATGGAAGAAGAAGATTCCATCACCGCCAGCCTCTCGTTGCCACGCCCTCAAATCGCCGCTCAGCCGTCACGCAGTCACGCTCAGTTCTCTGGATCGAGATGAACCATCGAAGGTGACCCATTTCAATCGATTGCTTACAATTCCGTCTTTATGTTTCACGATTCAAGTATCATTTTTGTGATTCAGCTCAGCCAACCCTTGGATTTGTTGCCTGGTTTATTTTTCTGCAAACCGTAGAATTTGGGGGCAGTGGCTATTGAATTAGACCGGCGGCCAAATCCGACAGCGACTTCATCTCTATTTCCTCTTCTGCCTTCACGTCTTGTAGCGCCAGAACCTCGACCACGGTCTTAAGGATGCTTTTGGGATGATGATCCATGTATTATCCCATCTGAAATCCTCGTCGCCCACAAGTCGAAGCTGGCAGATTTTGTCGCCTTGGGGACCGCCGACGCCATGGACAAGAGGCTAGCGTTGGAGAAGAGACCAACAAAGATGACATGAGTATTTACATTATTGTCCTTCATTTAGACGGTGGCTTCACGGTCAAAGATTCGGAGGACGAAATCGAGTAGAAATTTTAAAGTTGAGGACTAAATTTGGTAAGGATGATAGTCGAGAACGAAATCGGTAGTTTCGCAATAGTCAGAGGACCAAATCGGTTATTAACTCTTAAAAGAAATTAAACATACACATATTACGTCAATAATTAAACGAAATTAAACATAAACATTATTTTATTAAGAATAATATATATTGTCCTTAATTACCATAATTATTAAGATTACATGGACGTCATAATTAAAATAATATTAATTAAGAATAATATATACTCCTTAATTACGATATAATAATCATAATAAAATGAACTCATTTTTATTGGAATTAATGATAAATTTTCATACCCATATAGGAAATTAACAGTCGTTATATCGTCGACCGCGGTGCCCAAAACGGCATCGTTTCTTTAAGTAAAAAATGGCGCGCCGTTAGTTTTAACGGAGCGTGCATTTTGTTTATGTTAATTACCAACTGACACTACAGTATATCTAAACCGACATTGTCTCACGTATTATTTTTATATTATCAAATGAAACTACAGTTATATCAAAATGATACTGTAGTTGTGTTGAAATGAAACTGCAGTGTATATATAAAATGAAACTGAATAACATTTCACATATTTGAGTGTATATTGTACAATGAAGCTGTAATTATATAAAAATAATCATGTAGTTGTGTTTTAATAAAACTATAGTCTATATAAAATAAAATTAAATAACATTTTCACATATTTGAGTCTATAAATATCGAATGAAACTGTAGTTATATCGAAATGAAACTGTAGTTGTGTTGAACCGAAATTGCAGTGTATACAAAATAAAACTGAATAAAAGAGTTACTTTTTGCCGAAGGGTGTGGAACGGCGAGAAACAGATGCCGTTTCTTTTCATTAAACTAAACGACGTCGTTTTTATGCGCGGTGCATAATCAATTATGCACCGCGGTGCACGATATAATTTGCCGGAAATTAAACATACACATATTACGGTGGGTAATTAAAGGAAAATAAACATACACATATTATGTCCATAATTAAAGAAATTAAATATACACATATTACGTCCATTTTTCCAACCTATATTTAACACCTTTTTTTTTTTTGAAAAAATATTTCACACTTTAGTCTTACTATGGTAATTTAACATAGAGATGCCCTTTATTTAATTATTGTATATTTTTGTTACTTAAAATATATAATATCAATTAGCCATGCTCTTTCTTCTATTTTTTGTTTAGACTTTTCCTAATATATCAATTGCGGGAACACTAATATACAAATCTTATAATTTCAAATAAATGTACACTTTCAAATATTAAAATTCTTTATAATTTCATCATCAATTTTATTATTGAAATGAGGTAATACCATCTAAGGTCCTCCGAGTATAGTGGTTTTGTCACGTTTAGTCCTAAACTTTCAAATTGACCATCTGTGGTCCTTCGACTTTCAAATTTAACCATTCGTGGTCCAAGTTAACCACACATGGTCCTTCAACTATTAAATCTTAACCAATCATGAGAGGACCATGCTTGGTTAAATTTCAAAACTTGAAGGACCATGTGTGGTTAACTTGGACCACAAATGATTAAATTTGAAAGTTTATAACTAAATGTGGCAAAACCACTATACTCGGGGACCCCATGTGGCATTAACTCTTCTTTAAATATATAATAAAAAATTTATCCGTGCATCGCACAAGTGATTTACTAGTAAAACCTATTTACCGCCTCCACTAAAGCTCAAACCCGCAACCTCCCCTATAAAGGAGTAACTTGGTGTCACTAGACTACAAGGTCCTTGGCGATTAGCTTTACTCCTTTGTTGTAAAAAAATTTTCTTCATATGTTCTCCATTTGTTTATTTTTGTTTCAATTACTGAAAAAGAGTTAATTCCCAAAATGGTCCTCCGACTATGACCTTTTCTCAAATTGGTTCCTTGACTTTTAATTGCACCCAAAGTGGTCCTCTGACTATTGAATTTTAAGCCAAAATGATCTATTAGCTTTGGTTAAAAGTGGGTGTTAAAATGAAGGGCAAAAGGGACAATTTATATTGTTTGTTGTTTTAAAAATCATATAAACTAGAGAAATATATTGAACATACATGGGAATACAAGACAATCATATAAACTAGAGAAATCTTAAGAACACATGTATATATTAGACTTATTATTCTTATGATATAACATATTCTAATTGATTTAAGACAAAACATGACATCTTTTATTACATAATGAGAGAGAGGGGAGTGCAAATCAAATCTTAAAATGAGCTTAGAAAAGTTTGAACTCGTGTACACCCAGCGTGGCTGAACTTTTAAGAATATTTTTAAATTATTAAATTCCCTACCACCAAACAATATATACAAATTAATTTTTTTCAAGCCCCAGGCCTGGCCTTGTGTTGAAAGATAGTTATGCCGTGGAAACGTGTTCACCATGCGCATGGTGAAACACAGGGGTAGATCCATAATTTCTATACTGTAGATTCATATCATAATTTTTTTTTTCTTTGAAAACGTAGATTCATAATTTTGTTTTTCATTTGTTGTTAACGGATAGATCCATAATTTCTAAGCCATAGATTCATAATTTCTATATTGTAGATTCATATCTATATTGTAGATGCATAATTTCTGTACTGTAGATTCATAATTTCTATACTGTAGATTTATAATTTCTGTAACAACAGCCTCATTAAAATTGTCAAACTGAAAATCTCTTATTATTTTTTTGGCGCGCGCCGCCTAGATTCCGCCTAGGTATTGTCCGGGCGCCCGACTAGCGCCTAGCGCATACTGCAACCATGAATACTGATCACTAAATACCTTTGCCAAAGCATGGGCAACCGGATTCACAAAATGACTAATATGATAAAACTCTAAAGAAACAAAAGAACTATGTAAAGAAAGACAAGAATGAATAACAGAGCCAACATAAGTTTTATCAATACGATCCCCTTTTAAAGCTACCACGAACTAAATTAAGAAAATCAGAAACCATCCGTACCATCACCTCCAAACCTCAAGCTTTGATCCAGGAAAGTGCTTCCTTATCGTGCCAGAAGAGAATTATAAACACAATCCAATGGTCCATTAGTTACGTTGCTGCCACAAACACCCCATGCCGGTCAAATAAACAGGCCCCATACGCTGCCTTAGCCGCTGCAGCCGTGAAACCGGCATCAAAGCAGCAGTAGTAGCGTAATGTTTAATTCGGTCATTTGTTGCAAGGAAGGATGATCTTTTGCAGTCTAACAGCGTCATGGAACATCAATGCATTGTAGTTTATTAGATGTTTCATTGTTTCATCATCCAATACACTAAATCCATACTTTTTCTTCCAACTTTCTGTCTTTTCTGATGCATATGGAATGATTAGTTTCTCTATATTGAGGTAGCAAAGCACCTGCAAAATAAATATATCACCATTAAGCATGTCATATATGTTGGCAAATCAAATTATTATTATTTTTTTTTTAAAAAACATTAATATAGAGGAATAAAGGTGTTAGTTTGGTCATATGGGAGCACGTGCAATATGCGTGTATGACGACTTAATTTAAGAGAGGAAAGGAAATTAAAAGTATATTACTATAAAAATATAATTTTAAAGATAAATTAAATAACTTACAGATTCAATAGCAATCATAAGCTTTCTACACATCCCTTTACATCTATGAGCAAAATGGGAAGCAATGAAAGGCATTTCAGCAATCATTTTGTCATGGATATATCCTGTAAATTAAAACAACATTATATACATAGAAGCTTCAATATTTGAATTATGTGGTATAACATAGTTTGATGCAAACACTCCTAAAGAATTGAAGGGGAGGCGGGGGAATGAGATTCTCATTTATATGATAAGAATTTCGCATTGTGTAAAGAAACTTCGCATTCCCTTAAACCAAAGAAGAGCATATGCGATATACTATGGAACCAAATTGGCACATATATAACAAATATATACCATATATGTTTGATGATTATTACCTTAGAGCTGCAACACAAACTATTTCCCCATTTGTTTCCAAGACAGCGGTGTAGAAGCCGCCTTTGAAGTTAATTCTATTGAAATTTGAACTGCAAAAGTTTAAATGATGAAACAGAAGGTGTCTATCACTGTATATATGTCAATATAATGTCAAAATTCAAAAATGAAATTTAGTTTCTAACTTTAGATTCATGATGTTATAGAAATTTCTATAGTCTCTAGCTAGTACATACCCACAGTTGTAAATGACGTTTTTGATAACGTTAATTTTTGTGTAGCTATCAAAGATTTGTCCGAAAGAATCCTCCATTAATCTCCAGGCAACAGCGAGCTTGGAGTGACAAATTGTTCTTTGATAATCTTCATCTAGGTACACACCGTGCTGATGATCTAACTGACGGAGTAAAGTCCATGAATACCCTTCTTCCAATTTAGTCTTTAATCCTACCAATGTTTTCTCCAGTTTCATAGAAACCTTATTTTCAACAAAAACATAAAATATATCATTAAAATCCTAATTTTAGACCACAAAACATTAGTAGTTACTCTTCATTACTGAAATTGTTACGTGGGTCTTGAATGCAAGTTAACACCTGGAATTCTACTTACTTTTAATTAAGATATTAACGTACCCTTAATTATGTTGATTTACGAATAAACGAAAACATAAATTAAAGTAAGAAAAACAAACACCAGGAACCAGATATTGATCACGCAGTTCGGAACACTTCTCCTACGTCTGCGGGGCAACTCACGTCAGCCCAATCCACTAGATGTTCACCAAAATTACAAAGAGGGTTGAATACATAATCTTCCCAACATCCGTTGCCGGAGAGGTACGTGCATGCCGAATGATCACTTCAAGGGAAATTAGCCTGATGATAATATAATATTCTTTAATATAGATGTAATAAAAGAATGCCTTCTCCTCTCCTTATTGTTCCTGTACTGCCAATTCGTCCGTTCTGCATGAAGAAACTAATTCCTTAAGTAGCATTCCAAAGCTACCAACTTTCCACAATTATTCCTTATCTCACGCAAGCATTCATTCACAACCTTTCATTTAGATTTCCAATCAATACCAACCACATCTCATTTTAACACCTCACGCCATGCATATTTTACAGCCTTGAAAAAGTCTTTAAAGACTTATTTAACTTCTTCAATATGATTAGTCCACGCCATAATCAAATAAACTTACCTTGTAGTAACCTTACACGGAGACGGTCCACGGTCCATAATATAATTTAACACAACTCCTAATTATTTTGACAATTAAATTAGTTAACATAAAAGGGTTTTAATGTGTATCATTTGTACACTTACAATTACAACTTATTTGACCTTATGATACAATAATGCAAACATTTTAATTTGCCCACATCTCACAATAGACTTATCTTTTTGTAGAATCTACATACACACACATGCATGTGTGCGCACAAAGGAAAAAAATATATGTATTTTCATGAAATATAACTCCTGCCACGTGTAAAAAATTTATTGCGTAAAGAAAAATGAATGATCGAATAAAAAAATATAATGGTTCAATTTGTTGTTTAAATCAATCAGTTCCCATCTAATCTAGACTATTGGAACTCTAATATATATATATATATATATATATATATATATATATATATATATATATATATGATAGGAAAGCTCACCTCTAACTATTAAAAAGTTACCTTGTAAGTAGATCTGACAATTATGGACACGACCCGTTAACACGACACGAAAATAATAGGTTAGTGTTTAGCTTTAACGTGTCCCGTGTTGTTAACGAGTTGACCCGTTATGTTTCGTGTCTTAACGGGTCAACCCGTTAACCTAGTAAGAACATGTTTAACCTGTTAATATTATCATGTTAGCTCATTTATACGAACCCGCTTACAAAAACATGTTTATAACCTGCTAAGAACCATTGTCATTTAGGTAAGAACCATTGTCATGGATGAGATTACAAAAGATATAATGAAAATGACCCAGGATGAATTTGCTACATTATAGGCCAAGATTCTTCATCAGTTATTGATGTTCAACAATCTGAAATATAAATTTTTATTGTGTTCAATTTTATAATAAAAACTAGTATGGACTTCTTTAATTATGGTTTTTTTTTTTTTTTTTTTTTACGTTATTTCATCATTTTATGAATGTTATAAATTGAATACTCTTTTTAGTTTGTTTGATGGATTGAATTGTAGTTTTTATTTCTTTATATATATATATATATATATATATATATATATATATATATATATATATATATATATATATATATATAACTTAACTTTAATTTTTTGTTTTTTTCAACAAATATATTAATAGTTTTAGCAGGTTTAAACATGTTTCGTGTCATATCGTGTCGACGACACAATACAAAATCTATTAACAAAACGTGTCTATCTTGTCAACGCATTTAACCTATTAATCAGTGTTGCAAAAATCGCGCATACGCGCCGCCCGGCCGCCGCGAGGAAGGCCGGAATGGGCCTCCTCCGCGACCGGGCAGCTAGGCAGTCTAGTCGGCTGCCTAAACCTCCTAGCCGGCTGAACCGGGCGATTTATTTATTTAATTTTTTTAGGGTTAAAAATTGTGCGAAGGCATAACTTTTGACACGGTTGTCCGTTTTGGACAATTTTTTCTTTCAAATCGCGTATTTTCTCGAGATCTATACACTGCAAACAACCGAAGGCGGTTTGGCCCTCTAATTAATTTCTTCAAAAAATGCTTCTTTTGCTCTTAATTTATTTTTTTTTATGTATTTAGATGGTTTCAACAATATTTTAAACTACTTTATAGCCACTTAAATAAATAGTTTGTAAGAAAAAATTATGAGAACCTTATGTTTTATTAGTGAATTTTGATAATTTTTAATTTTTACTTTTTTTTTACATTAAAAAAAAAAATAAAATGTTTTGTAACCTTGCTATTAACATATCATGTTCGTGTTAAAAATTTGAATTCGTTAACCTTAACGTGTCGTGTTCGGATTTAACATTATCGTATTCGTGTCATTATCGTGCTAACCCGTTAACGAACCTGTATACACGAATTGTCAGGTCTACTTGTAAGGTCTTCCGTTAGATTTTATGTTAGTTGGCCATCAAATACAAGGATAAAGTTGTCTTTTCAAGTTATTTTCAATTGAATCAGTTATGTTAAACACTTAGGGGGGTGTATTCACTCATTACTTTCATAGGGACAACACGAGATTCACAATATAAAGCCTAGGGACAAGCTCTAGACATAATTAAACACAAGATCAAACCAATAACCACACAGGGCCATCAAGAATAGCAATAATTCACCATATAAACCTAAAGACAAGCTCTAACAAGATATACATACAAAATCATACAATTAATCATTCAATTGGAGCCAACCAATAAACAATAGCAAGGAAAATAGGTTTTGTAAGACATGGGTTACCTCTTAGCCCTAATCAATATCCTTGGCTACTAAGGTTCTTCTCTAAGATCCTCTTCCAATTGATCTTCCTAGGTTCGGTGGGGGGAAATTCTTTGCTAGGTTTCCTCGGGGAATGTCTCGCGTGGTAAATTAATCATAGCAGGGTTTCTAAATGCTTTCTAATTCCCTATATATAGATTCAGGAGTCCTAACTAGAATCTGAATAGTAAAGGCCCATATTCTCTATTCCTAGCAGGATTAAAGACTTGATTAAGGATAAGGGTCCATGATCCATTGTGGACCACACTAATTAATTAATGGGAATTATAGTCCAATTAAATCCTTTTTAACTATATATTAACGGAATTTATTCCATGCTTAACCCGAATTTGGAGGCCGTAAGACGGGGTGTTACACCCTCCCCCCCTTACAGGAAGCTTGATCTTTAAATTAGAGAAAATAGGTTATGCTTGTTTTCCTATAAGTGTAGGGTGGGGATTGATCAAGTCAGGAGGCAAGTAAGGATTGAGATTTAGGTGTACCTTGGTTTCCTGCTCCCGAGCTTAAAGCTCCACGTGCGCCAAGCATGGCCTCGATCGCCGCCACTCTCATGTCAAAAGAGCTCATCGCGAGAATCAAGGACGAGAATCCCTCATCCATGATCCGGTTCTGCCTCAAGAGCTTCGCGAGGATACACTCGTTGGTGGACCTCTCGTCTCGGTCCCCCGCGTTCCCCCTTTCCTGCACGGATTCCGATTGACTCGGCTCACTCTCTTCTTCTTGCTCTTCTTGTTCCTCGCTTTCTTGCATCGATCATTTCATTTTCTTGTTTGAGATACACAATTGGTCCACTAACATTCTTTGTTCAGCCGGGGGTCTCAAGCAAATCTCCTCGAGGGTAATGTACTGTCCCTCTCCGACATGATAGATGTCGTTGCGGTGGAGGTTTTGAGCATTGAAGAGCATCCCACTCATGGGTCTGACTTCAGTCCAGCTTATGTCCACCCCTTTCTTTTCCATGATCCAACTTAGGATCATCCCGTATGGTAAACTGAGCCGGTTGCTAGATTTGCAGAATTCCATGTGTTTCAACATAAGAGCGGGTAAATTGAATTTGACCTTATGCTTAAGAAAATAGGCAAAGGTGCATTCTAGGCTTCCCACATCCCTGCTCTTGTTGTTAGTGGGTAATAGGCTATCTGACACAATCAAGACTAGCTTCTTTTGTTCGGCGGTTAGCAACTTCTTAATTGGCCTTGTGGCCGAAGTGAAACCGTCTTCTCTTCCCAACAAATAGCTAAGGTAATCCTCGTACCCCACGTCTCGGGTACTAATCCATGCCTTCCAGTCATAATCTGACATGCCCGTGGTGGTCAATTTCAAAAGCTTAGTTAAGCGGGACATGGTTAGCACCATTTCCTTGTCCTGGACCTTGGAGGTGACCTCTAACTTGTCCCTGCATTTGGTGGCTACCATGTAGCGGTAGAATTCCTTCACCAGTTCGGGGTACGTGTCCCCTTTTATCTCGAGGTACATATCCAGTAGGCCTTGGAATTTAAGCATATCAACCAACTCCGGAGAGAATTGGTCGGGTTCCAGTGCTTTACCTCCTAATGCCGTGTAGTCGGCATTGTTCCACTCCGGGACTCG